TAAAAATATTGAACATAGTAGGAATAGAAGGGAATTTCCTGGGCCAGGAAAAGTGGCTCACGCCTGTAATCCTAGCACTCTGAGAGGCCAAGGCTGGTGGATCACCTGAGCTCACAGGTTCAGGATCAGCCTAAGCAAGAGCAAGACCCGTCTCTAAAAATAGCTGGGTGAGGCTTGGCATCCATAGCTCAGTGGTTAGGGCGCCAGCCACATATCCCGAGGCTGGTGGGTTTGAATCCAGCCCGGGCCTGCAACAACAAGAAGACAGTTAGTAAGGGGTACCTGTGGCTCAAAGGAATAGGGTGCTGGCCCCATACACCAGAGGGGATAGGTTCAAACCCAACCCTGGCAAAAAAAATAGTTGGGCATTGTGATGGGCACCTGTAGTCCCACCTACTTGGGAGACTGAGGCAAGAGAATCACTTAAGCCCAAGAGTTTGAGGTTGCTGTGAGCTCTGATGCTACAGCACTCTACTGAGGGTGACATAGTGAGACTCTGTCTCAAAACCAACAATGACAACTGCAACAAAAAAAATAGCTGGGCATCATTATGGCAGGTGCCCATAGTCCCAGCTACTTGGGAGACTGAAGTAAGAGAATTGCTTAAGCCCAAGAATTTGAGGTTGCTGTGAGCTGTCACACCACAGTACTCTACCCAGGGGTACAGCTTGAGACTCTGTCTCAAAAAAAAAAAAAAAGAAAAGAAAAGAAAAAGAAAAAAAGACCTAAATAAATGTACAGAAACTTCATGTTCATAGACGACTTATATTGTTTAATGGTAATACTCTCCAAATTGATCTACACATTCATGCAATCCTTATCACAATCCTGGCTACCTTCTTCACAGAAACTGACCACCTGATATTGAAATAGTCATTAAGAACATAAACAGTTACCCTATATTATTAGTCAAAAGGGAAATGCAAGTCAAAAAAAATGAAATATTTCAGACCCACATGGATGGCTATAATCAAAAAGACAAATAATAACAAGTATTAGGATGTGGAGAAATCAGAACCTTTTTATGTTGCTAGCCAGTTTGGAAAACAGTCTGTCAGTTCCAATTAAACCTAGAGTTGCCACATGACCCTACAATTCTACCCCGAAATAAATATCTATTTGGATGTGTGTGTATATGTGTGTGTGTATATCCAAGAAAAATGAAAACATACATCCGATACGAAAAATTGTATACAAATGTTTATAGTAGGATTATTTGATAGCCGAAAAGTGGAAGTAACCTAAGTAGTTACTTCTATCAATTGATCAATAAAATGTAGATATATGCATTTAATAGAATACTCTTCAGCAATAATAAGGAAGGAAATACTGATACCTGCTACTATACGGATGGACCTTCAAAACCCTACACTAGGGTGGCACCTGTGGTTCAGTGGGTAGGGCGCCATCCTCATGTACCGAGGGTGGTGGGTTCGAACCTGGCCCTGGCCAAACTGTAACAATAAAATAGCCAGGCGTTGTGGTGGGTGCCTGTAGTCCCAGCTACTCGGGAGGCTGAGTCTAGAGAATTGCCTAAGCCCAAGAATTTTACATTGCTATGAGCTGTGACACCATAGCACTCTACTGAGGGCAACAAAGTAAGACTGTCTCAAAAAAAAAAAAAAAGGAAAAAAAAAACCTACACTAATTAAAAGCAAAAGACCAAATATTTTGTGATTCCATTTATATGAAATGTCCAGAATCCAAAAATTTATAGAGACAGAAAGATTAGCAGTTGCCTAGGTCTATGTTTGAGGAAGGACTTGGGTGAAATAAAGGTGAATTACTGAAGGTGCTAAGGTTTCCTTCAGGGGTGATGAAAATGTTCTAAAACTGATTATAGTGATGACTGCACAACTCTGTGAACATAGAACCAACAAATTGTAGACTTTAAATGGTGAGTGCTGGGTGGCGCCTGTGGCTCAAGAAATAGGGCGCCAGCCCCATATACCAGAGTGGTGGGTTCCAATCCATCCCCGGCCAAAAACTGGAAAAAAAAATTAAATTAAATTTTAAAAATGGTGTTCAGTATGTGAATTATACTTCAGTAAAACTGTTATAAATCCTTCCCTGAACCACCCACTTCCTCCCCCCTCTCTCCTAATCCTTCCACAGCCCTAGTCTTCCATGGACTCCCACAGCGCCTTGTACATACT